AAAATAGGAAAAAATAAGGGGCGCTATTATTGCGGTGTATTATTTCTTAATTTCCTATTTTCGAGTCAAGTTTGGCTTGTTTAGCGTGCAGTCGCCTCACATTTTGTCGTAACTTCTACGAATGTTAGTTATAGGCATCTATAGTTATGAAATGAAGAACCTTATTGCTTTTCAACAATTTTCGATCATTACTGCCAGATTCTCGAGCACTTGAGAAATCATGTATGCTAGAGGCTAAATTTGATATTAGTAAATGTTTTCATTACTGAAAAAAGAAAAAATATGTGACAACCCTTGTTGACTGCACAGACAACTTAGCTTCTATGGGCATATGTTTCATTGCCTGGCATCCTATCTTTTATATTTTTAAGAAAATAGGAAACAAAATTAAGTTTAGTATGACCTAATCCCGGATGTTATTCATTTTATGAAAATGAACCGTTTCACTTTTAGAAAAATCTTTTATTAGTCGGAATTGGTAGCTCTTCTATAGTTTATTACCAGGGTATTTGACATCATATCCTCTATGGAAATAGATTTATTTCTATGCACCCACATTTTGTTTGTGGACACTCTACTTGGATTATAAGTTTATATCCAAAAGATCTTGATTCCTGTCAATATTGGTCATGTATCGGACCATAACTTCATGGATTATGGCCCCTGATTATTAGAAAGATTGGTTGCCAGGCAGCGAAACATACGCTCACAGCAGCTAAATCGTTCAAGCGGCAGACAAGGCTTGTCGCATATTTATTCTTCTGTAGGTAATGGGGGGGAATTTACAAGACAATTTCATACAGATCAAATTATAATTTTTATCATTTGCAGGTTCACAAGTTTCTACAAACTGAAACAAGGGCCTAAACACAGAATATAATTAACAGAAATTGCTGAAATTCAATAGGCTGCTTCGTTTCACTAATTTAAATTATGTATATAAATTTCATACAGATCAGATGTTCAAGCGTTCACAAGGTTCAACAAAGTGAAACAAGGGTCATAACTCTGGAAGTAATAAACGGAAATAACTGGAATTCACTAGGATTAGGATTCTTCGTTTCACTAATTTAAATGATGCATATAAATTTCATACAGATCGAATAATTATTGAAATTAAATAGGATTCTTCATTTCACTAATTAAAAACAGCATATATCAATTTCAAAACAATCAGATGATCAATGTTGTCTGTAGAGTGTTCACAAGAAATTGTGGATGACAGACCGATGGAAGGGGTAACCGGTAACAGTAATATACAACCACATTATGTTTTTAGTTTGTGGACACTCTAGAAGTCACAATTTTTATCCAATTTTGATGAAACTTCGACTTGACATTCTGGGTTATGCCCCCATAGTGTACGAAAAATCGATATTTTAGCTTGTTCTCTGTCCATCTCCTGCAAAATGTGGGCAGAAGATAGTCAGTGACGAATAGTATCAGCACTGATGAATGCATTTGAACCCCTCACATTAGCAGCAGTACAGGGAGGTGGCAGCATGCTATCCTACAGGTGTTGTTGGATAATGTGCCAGTATTATTAAGGTGTGGTCATAGATTGGGGTCCAGGCATTGGCTGATATTTAGTGGACCCAATCTGCTTGAAATGATTGTGTAATGGCATCTTCAGGTGACAGAACTTGAAGTAACGCAATGGCACATTCTCTGTGTTCACCCTTTTGGATTTCAAAACTTTTGTCAACAGTTTTTGAGGCAAAAGTTATGATCCAATTGACTTGACATTTATACACTGTTCAGATAAATGAAATCAAGATTTTCAACCATTTCTGATAATTGCCGTCGGAGTAATCATCCTTTAACAATTTTAAAAAATCTTGTGGATTCTCCAGGTAAGGTTATTATGGTCATGAAATGAATAATCCTATTGATTTTTTTAACAATTTATGATAATTATTTGGAGTTATTGCCCTTGATCAATTTGATTGGTTGTTATAATATTCAGAATTGAAAGATAAAATGTCTCTCCCAAACAAAAAGATTTACAATTATCCATTTATAAAAGTGCTGCATTTTCACTTAGTATATGGAGTTGTTGCCCTTGCTTCAAAAACTTTATAAATGGGTATATATGTATATGGTGTTAGCATCCGGCGTGCATTAACATTCTTGCCACAAAAAACATAAAAACAATATTAGAATGCAGTAGTCTGATAATAATCCACAGTGATTATAACTGTTGAATAATATAGTCTATAGACTATGTTCTATAAGAAATGAAATGAAATGAAATGAGGTTTAACGTGGTGTTGAAGAAACTATTGTAAGAAGAAATGTAATGAAATACTAAGTGATATCTGATTGCTGTAAGAGGGAAAGAATAGATTTCATTGATTTTACCAGATCAGTCTAAAGAGGTGATAATTCCTTCCATTACATTTGCTATCAGAATGTCAGTTATTTGGGGGAAAAAGGAATGGTTATAGCAAATCATACCATAACATCTTTAAAACAAAGATTTAATACGTAAACGTGCATCAGTCTAAATAGCTTAACTGTCTTTCCAATCATCCTAAAAAGCTAATATAATAATACAACACTTGGTACAGCCCAAATAAAATTCTTGAAAAGCAATATTCTGTATTGTCATTGTGAAATCATTTGACAGAAGATGAGATTAAATGAAATTGGTCAGGTTCTGTCAAATAGATTGATGATGATCAAATGAAGTAAAATGATACTGATAGTGTAATAGAAACATGAAAGGTTGTCATCTTAATGGCAAGTGTTACACTGATTTTGGGTTGTAATCCATGCTTATTTTTCTGCGAAGAAACTGATTTGGTTTTCACAGATCAATCAAACAAAATGTTGAAAGTGCTTCATATACAGTAACAAAATCTCCATGTGGATTACAATTTATAGCCACAGCTGTCACAGAAAAATTGATTTATCGAAATGAAACTGATAAATTCTTGCTCAATAAATAATATTTGCAAATGTGCACAGTCCAAGAATTCAAATTACAAAACAGGTTTGTAATAAAAGTTGACATGAATTGCACAAAATTCTTCAAGAGTTTACTCAAGATCTGTATGAAGGGACATATATAGGTGAATTGCTTTAATGTTAGGTGGTTTCGAATCCCTGGTTGTACGTGACAAGGAGTAGGGTCGTCTGTCCAACCTCGTGGGTTTTCTCCGGGTCCTCCGGTTTCCTCCCACTGCTAAAGACCCCTACGCGCAAGCGAATTATTGAAATAAAATTAAACCATATGTTAGTCCCAAAATGACCTAGTTTGTGTTGAGTGGACGTTAAACCCCATTTCTCTCTCTCTCTTTTAATGTTAGGTCTTCAGAATTGCATGGAATTTATTTTTATACACCCACAATTAAATGTGAATCCAAATAAAAATAGAGAGAGAGGAATCCAAAACCATAAGAATAACATAAACCTTGATGGGATCCAAGTCATAGTAAACTGGATACATCAGTAGGAGTAGTGGTCAAAAACAAAGTTATGGTCAAATTCAGACTTTTTATGCCCACATGAAAATTGTGTTTTATATTGTTGTCACTCATATCCGTCAGCTTTTCACAATTGCTAGTGGATGCTTTAGAGGCTAAAGTTACTCAGTAATTATATACATAAGAAGATAAAGCCTATTGGTTTTCACCCTTGATCAATTTTAAAAAAAAAACTGTTGCTCTAAAGGCTAAAATTATGATCAGACATGAAATTTATACACAGTGTTTAAGTTTGTGAGACAAATATTTTTAACCATTTCCAACAATTGCTTTCGGTGTTTTTAGCCTTGATCATTTTTGGTTTTTTTTTTTGGAACCCTCTAAAGTTATTGCCCAATTGACTTTGAATTTAGACGCACTTTATGTTCATAAGACAAAGAAGCCTATTGATTTTCAACGATTTTGATTATTCTGTGTAAAATGTGCAGTAAATAAAGCATATTTAATGTTTTTGTCCTGTACTGGAGCTTATCAAAAATACATGTAATTTTCAGGGAAACACAGAGGACATATGATATATTTTATTCCAGTTTACTGGTGATAGCTTTAATCTAAGGTGACATAATTTAAAAAGCATTATCAGGTTTGAAGTTGTCAAGTACTCATTAAAAGTGTTGACTTAGCCATTTTCAGTAGAATAAAATAGTGTAGTATTATTGGTCTAGACAATACACAGCATTTAATACTTATCACTTCCACTGATTGAATACAGATGGTCTCGAGGTAATCACCACTTCTTCACAACTGGACTCAGACTAGCAATTATTTGCCCATTGACTTCAATGTTAAATGGCTGTAACATCACAGGCTGTAGCTTTTTTCTCAACATTCCGTTGGTTCCAATCTTTATAGGCACAATGGGGACAACATTTGGCAATCTCCTCATCATAATTTTGTAGGGGGTTGACCATTTAGATTTTTTGCTACACGGATTTGAAGTTGACTGGGGTGAAAATCTCACTTCCGACACAATGACTGCTCTGCAGAAAGACACTTTACACCCCCTATCCCTCCGCTGTAATATCATCAGTATTACCCAAAACTGCTATGAAATTGCAAATTTGATCCCTTTTCTCCAATTCTAGACCAAAAAGTCAACCCAAAAATGCAGGAAGAGGGGAGAAAAAAATTAAGGGAAAAATTGTCTATTTATAACTCGCACTACATTCGTCCATCATGAAATAAGGGGAAATAATTACTAGTCTTAGTCCTATATACCTCACATGTTTCTGCAGTTTAAACAAATCTGTTGTTATCTAATAAACAAACATATATGCAATTCCCTGACCAAAGAATATGAAAATCTATGCATTTTCAGATGAGCTGTGCGGCATTCTGCAAACACTATAATGCATCAGAAAACTGCGGAATTTCAGACAGAAATTTAAAAGCACATGAATTTTGAATTAAACAGAACATTTTTATTTTTGAACATAAATGCATTCTGTAAAAAGATGAGATAAATTCAATATAAATCAAACACGAAAATACTTTAAAACAGTAATCATGATGCAATATTAGACTTTTTAACACTTTCATCGAAAACCACACAGTTTTTCTCTGTTAACGTAGTTTCAAGTGCCAAATTGTGGTCAAATCTAAAATGTTGAAACATGCAGTGCCTATCAATTTTAAAATATCTCCTATATAGCTGTATTTCCATAGGATAAGTAAGTTGAAATAATCTGATTATGTAACACTACAACAGCTTTTTCATCCCTACCCCCCAGTTTGGAATCTGATAATTTAAAAGCACATGAATTTTGAATTCCACAGAACATTTTTATTTTTGAACATAAATGCATTCTTCAAAAAGATGAGATGAATTCAATATAAATCAAACACGAAAATACTTTAAAACAGTAATCATGATGCAATATTAGACTTTTAACACTTTCATCGAAAACCACACAGTTTTTCTCTGTTAACATAGTTTTAAGTGCCAAATTGTGGTCAAATCTAAAATGTTGAAACATGCAGTGCCTATGAATTTCAAAATATCTCCTATATAGCTGTATTTCCACAGGATAAGTAAGTTGAAATAATCTGATTATGTAACACTACAACAGCTTTTTCATCCCCACCCCCCGGTATGGAATCTGATACATTGCTGACCAATCATAGGTCGCCCCGTTCACTCGAGCCTGTCAAATGATTTACAATGGCGATGGTGCCTACAACTTTCCTGACCAAGAGATATGCACAACCGTCGATCAACACACAAGCCATTAATGTTATCTTCCAATATGAGAGGCCATGATAAACACACAAGCGTCCTTTTCAAGCTCGGAAATTAAGTCATCACCAAAAAGCAAAGTTTACAGAGGTCCCAAACTGATTACGATTTGCCCTCCACTTCCACCACAGGTGTCATAGAGATCAGGGATGAAATTGATATGCATCATCGTTCTCCTAAAGCCAGTCCAGGAAGAGATCAGGTTTTGAGATGTAGACCTGAAATGTTAAATTTGGATGAGAATGAGAATTCTGGGGCGAATACTATCCAGGGAAATGGTCATTGACATCCAGAAAATGGTCAAAATGTGGAATTCTGTCATTCAGTTAAATGTCAAGGGGAGAAGACAGGCCTGTGCAGTACCAAATTTCCAGCCCATTACTATTAGTGAGCAGAAGTGGGGATGAGGTTGGATTTACTTCTTAAAGTGTATGAAATGCACATTTATCTCACCTGTTTTGCTTCTTTTTTTTTAATACTTGTGTTGAGGTCAATCATTCCACTCTATGAAACATTGCCCTGGCACCTGAAATGATAGGAGGCTGGGGATAAATATGCAATAAAAAACAGTGAGAAAATAAGAAAAAAATATGGTTTCAACTGGAAATAGAAATAAACCTCTTTATTTCTCGCGAACAGCCCGTCACTGGCCCTCCAAAAAGAAACCAGTTAACAATCAGTAAAAAAGTAAACCTTGAGTGTCACATAAGTCTAAGCCAATCTCAAAGGTAGATGCCATGTTTTGAGGTTCGGTCTAAATATTAAGGCCAACTGCATGTTTGGTCAAAAGTCACACAGGTGTGAATTTTGGAGTGTACATGTTAACATTTCATTGTATGATGTCAAAAACATGTTAGGTCTAAATGTTAAGGCCAACTGCAGACTTGGTTCAAGGTCACAACATGTAAATAGGGTTAGGGCACATGATTTTTTTACACAATTGTGGGTTTGGGCTAGGGTCAGAACTAGGTCTTGGCTTAGGCCTAGGCTACATGCTTTTTGACAAGATTGTGGGTTAGGGTTAGGGTAAGGACTGGGTCTTGGGTTAGGGTTAGGGTCAGCCTTGTTTACATCTCGTGACTTTAGACCAAATCTGGAGTTGAGTTGGCCTTAATATTTAGACCTAACCATGTTTTGATATCATTGTGAAGAAAATGTTACACATTTACAACCCAAAATTCACACTCAACCAACGGATACCCCCAATCATGGCTATTTTGATACCAAATAGTCAAAAAACTTACTGCTGGGCAATAAAAAAGCAGTATTCTTACTATTTCTGACACTTTCCATTCAAAACTTCAGGAAATAAGCCCTTGAAAAAATATCAACATCCCGAGTCGGCCATGTTTCTTTATCTCATCAGGACTCAGACTAGCAATTATTTGCCCATTGACTTCAATGTTAAATGGCTGTAACATCACAGGCTGTAGCTTTTTTCTCAACATTCCGTTGGTTCCAATCTTTATAGGCACAATGGGGACAACATTTGGCAATCTCCTCATCATAATTTTGTAGGGGGTTGACCATTTAGATTTTTTGCTACACGGATTTGAAGTTGACTGGGGTGAAAATCTCACTTCCGACACAATGACTGCTCTGCAGAAAGACACTTTACACCCCCTATCCCTCCGCTGTAATATCATCAGTATTACCCAAAACTGCTATGAAATTGCAAATTTGATCCCTTTTCTCCAATTCTAGACCAAAAAGTCAACCCAAAAATGCAGGAAGAGGGGAGAAAAAAATTAAGGGAAAAATTGTCTATTTATAACTCGCACTACATTCGTCCATCATGAAATAAGGGGAAATAATTACTAGTCTTAGTCCAACTAAATACTTGAAAATGGCAAGAGTTATGCTTGTTTGTCAAAGGTTTAACTTATTGGGTCTACTAATGATGTATGAGTGTCTGGAATAGTTTTGATTAGAGGGCAGACATTTTTGGAAAATTAATAGTGTTAAACATATATTCCTCTTATTGTGTAACCAAAGAAGATATATTTTGCAGAAGTATGTTTTCATCACCAAGTAGGAGTATCTCAGTGTAAAAGAGAAAATGAATTCTAGCATCTATTCAACACTGACCTTGCCATTTTCAGACTAACATACGGTATATTTTATTTCAAAAGCGTGAGGAAACCAAGAGTACCCAGTGAAAACCCATTGAAAGTAGGCATGCGCCTTTACTCCTGGATCAAACCCATGGCTTGCATTGATCTACAACCCCAACCTCATCTTTCCAATTTCAAAAAAGTATTAAAGATCACCAAATCAACATGACACTACATTTGTATCTACTTTTCTCTCCCCCCTCCCCACCAAACAACTTAAAACGTGTATGCATAACTGTATTGATCAAAGTAACCCCTGACATTCCAAACATACTTTAAACAAACAAAAGAAAACATCGTAAGTTCTCAAAATGATCTTCCTTGTAGAACCATGTCATATTTTACGAAGATACTATAGGTAGTGAATATCCCACTGTTTGAAGAGAAATGGCTTCACTGATGTTGAATGTCATCTTAATTAAAAATCTTGTGAAACAGCAAATATCTATGGCTAGGAGCATGTGAGAGGAATCTGTTTGACTGGAAGCACAAGTGGAAAATACCTTCTTCTTTTTTCAGTATCAAAGCTTGAATGACGTCATGTCATTAGAATCAATAGTGTCCCTGGAGTATAGTGTGTCAACTGAGATAATAACATGCGAACTCGCATCATTTCATCCTCCAGCCAGGTCTAACATTACTTTTGAGAAGACAAGAAAAATGAAAATAAAAATTTCCACTTTAATTATAAACATTATCTCTCTAAATTATAATTAAACACGTAGGCACAAATCTTAACTGATGATATGACCATAGTATCAATTTTATGGCCTGTGTATTGGTTTATTGACATGAAATTTTGAAAGGTCAAGTTAGATGAGTCATAATTATTAGAGACATAATGCTGCCAATTTTCTCTTTATTTTTATTTAATCTGGTGACATTAAATTTTATTTGAGCTAAATTGGATAAGATTTGACTGAGAAAAATACATCATCTCAATTTGATAAAAACAACAAATTTTGTGTCAAAGCCATTGAAGATAAAAAGTCAGACCAAAGCTTTTGAAGGTTTCGGGGTAATTTTTGTGTTAATAGTTATTTGGTGGGAGGATCGATTGGAATGTAATTATCAAACTGGTCTCTCATCTACGTTGTCCTGTATTCAAATCCTGGTTGTCCTGGCGTAGTAGAAAAAAAAAAGAACACTATCCTTGCAATCTTCTGCTCCATCGCATTGCACACATAACCATAGACAAAAAAATGACCAGACTTATATAGTGTGTTGACGAGACAATAAACCCCATTCCATTCCGTTTGATATGTATTTGTCACGGTACAATTATTTTTACTAATGATTAGGATGTCAATATTAACATGCCTAGAAAAGCCAAAAAACATTATTAACTGGATGGGAATAACATGTGACACAATTATATGGAATATAAGTTACTTAAAAGATTTATTTATGGTGGTGTTTTGAGGGTTCTCTCGTGTTTATACAAAAACCGAACATTTAATTATATATATTTCCCAGATAAGGTTTTACTTAAGAAAGTCAGAAGTCATGAACAAAGAACATTATAGCTCCTTTAGCTTTCTAATTATTGTCACTTCAGTTTGTCACTAGTTTTATTCTTTTAGTTTTAAAATTTACAATACAGCTTCTTAAATGTCAATTTGGTTTAGCTGCTGTCAACAATTGTATTAATAGCCTATTATATATTATTTAGGGAGAGGAATTGACATAATATGTGTTTGTGTGACATAACATTCAAGACATGATTTCTTCAGTAAATATAGTTGTATATTTGTCATTATGAATAATATTTATTTCTTCATGTATATTATTGGGAGAGGAAACAAAATATATTTTATCTATACATATCATAGCTCAACAGAAATTTTCAATTATGTTCCATCTGACTTTACAGACTTATTTTCTAGTCTCCCTAGAGAAACTAGAGAAATGTCTAGAACATTTGATCGTCATAATTTGTCATTATAGATGATCAATCAGAAGGTAATATTTCCAATTTCAATTCTATTTCCAATTTCAATTCTCTGACACGACCCTAATAAACATATAAATCTAATTTATTTTTCCACAACTTCTAATATTATTTTTCACAATCTATGAAATAGAAATGTCTCTCAAGATTTCCGTATAGGATGCTAATTTTTTCATGACAGGTCTATAAAAGCATTCAGTAGAAACCGACACAAAGAGATCTTTGTATCATTCATACAAGTAGGTGATATTTTAACGTAAATGAAAATAGGGTTTTTTTTGCCAATGCAAATCATTCTAACCACTGTTTGATATATTTCAGAATGCACCAAAATTTTGAGTGGGTGTATTATGTGCCTAACTATCTACACATCCACAATTCTTCTTCGTTGTGGACATCAGTATTTTATCCCATTTGATAAACTTTTCATATCAGCTCCACAGATGCTACCCCTGACAAAAACCCTGAATGTTCTTCTTGGCCCAGGGCATTCTACCTCAGCTCCCTGTTTCAACAATAATAAGGAAAACCTATTGATTGACACATTAGGATTTTTTTGAGTTTGTCACTCACCAAAACCTGTTAAGATTCTGCATGTTTTACAAAATGATTCATATTGCTCTTAAACTTTTTATTGTCACCAAAAAAAGCAAGGGTCACATGTACAGTTTCTTCTCCTGTTGCCAAAACCTTGCACATGCTCTATATTTCCAAATCTTTGAGGTATTTAACCACATGTTTATTCATAAGCAGCGCCAGGTTAACCACAGGGTATTGTTAGGTCCAGGCCCCATCTGGCCCTCCGCATGAGGGGGCCCCCACAGAAAATCTTGGTGGCACAAAAAAGTGACCTGAGCATGGTCGGATCAAGGACTCCATCTGCTATCAGATTTTCAAAGTAGTGGACATTGGGGCCCTTTCAATCTATGGTGGGTCCGTGTTGCGGTTCAGCAGAGAATTCAGTGTAATTCAGCATTTGTACTTTTGACTCGTATCCGTGTTTCTTTTTTTTATAATTTGGTAGTTTACATTCATATGGGTGGAATAATACTGCCTAAGTTCTGGTCACTTGTGTTAGGTTGGGGGCCCCCACATGCTCAAGGCCCTGGGGCCCCCACCATGGTTAATCCGGCGCTGATCATAAGTGTGTGTCTGTGCATCAACTGTCACTGAAACCTCCTTAATGTTTAAAAAACAAAATGGCTAATCATATAAGCAGGCAGTCAAAGAAAATTCAGACTGACCATAAGAGTCTTCTGACCACTGACACCAAATCTAATTGACCCAGACCAGACCACAAAAACTTGAATACCACCTTCTAGTGCTGTCTGGTAACTCTATGTTATAGCCCTTTTTAATAGACTAAGATCTGTTCTTTCTTAAATTCAGATTTGGGCATCCTGTTTGTGTTGTAGTATATATATTAACCCTGTTATAAGAAACGTTAAAAGAGAAGACTTTTTTTAAGAGGAGTTATTGTCCTGTGACTTACATCATAATATAGGCCTACCATGCAGACAACAAAACAATCTTTCATTTTTAACGCATGGCAATTTTGTAGGTCGGGTGTTCGATCCCTGCATTGGCCGAGAAAGTTGATCCAGATTTTGCGGCGTAGTTTCCTCTTGTCAGTGATGCAGGACGGAGGGCCTGACAAGGACAGTTGTCTAGTCGTTCGGATGGGACGAAAAACCGAGGTCCCGTGTACACATTGGCGTGCACGTAAAAGATCCCTTGGCAGTTGGAATTTGATATAAGAGTAGGCCATAGCGCCGCTGCCCGGGCAAAATTTCCCTCATAGCATACTGTATGGTGTATGAACATCTTCATTAGCCAAGTTTAGGAGCAGAACAGTAGAACGTTAAACCCCATTTCATTTCATTTGTATTTATATGCATGCATGATGCCATAGCTTCCTGAAAGTCGGCAATCCTAATTATGCATTTTTAGTAGGACAACATCAAATATTTCAGTTTCTTCACCCTTAAATGTACTTACATTGATTAATTAACATATAACTGAGAAAAAAAATATATAGAATATCAACAGTAAAGATTTTACTTTACACTTATAGATGGCACTGGCTTGTTTATATAGTCTGAAGAAGTTTTAGAATGTTCCAAAATTTTCATTAATTATATCTGGTTCTTTTATAGATCCAACCTTCACGAGATTGTAGTTTGTCAGGGATCTAAATTCTCTCTAATAAATCAGCAGCTTTAAGCAGTATATTAACAAACATATAACCATAAGCAAGATATATATTGCAATATTTAGAATAGTATATGGCACTGCATGTTTTAATATAGAGAAAGAAAATGTAACTGCTCTTTCTGTTTTGTACATTATTAAAGACATTAATCTATATAAATAAAATCAAAGTGTGTATGTATGTGTGTATATATGTATGTTCGCCCATCATGCTTCGGCGCGGCGTTCCACCTCCACATTATTATACTAATCAGCATGACACAGTGAATGTTTAAGGCCATTGAATTTGGGTTCCGTCCGAATCACGCTTCATCGTCACACTCCAACCCCATATCTGTGGTATCAAATTAACCAGTATGACCCTGTGAATGTTTTAGGCCATCGAATTTGGCTCCGGACAAATTTGGGCCCTGGCGAATTGGGCCCCAGGCGAAGCTGGGTATCCTGCTAGTATTATATACATAACAGGCTTACCAACTGGAATTCTCTATTATAAATGAAGATTTATTTTAACAGTGTCGAGTAAAGACACCTTGCTTTAGCTGTAGTATGATAAACAGATAACATACTTTATTATATTACCGAGATCAGCTCTGACACTACTACTATCTGCTAGTATAGTTACACAGAATCAATGCCAGACAAACATCTACAGCCATATATTATATCAGTTACGTTTTACATCTACGCTATTTATATATATCTAGCAACACTACTGCTGGAATTTACCAAATTAAAAACTTAATGTACTTGGAATAGACCTTCTTGTACGTGAATTCATATTAGACAGGAGTTGGTAGCTGAAGTCACAGCAAGTAAGTTACCATTTTTAGAACATAGAATAAATTGAACTGAAGCCTAGTGAATTTTTATTTAAATGAAAGTAGATAAGTGCGCTGTTTGTTATTTGGCAAAGTTTGTGATTCATGTTTCAAAGATAAAAACTCTTTTTGGTTATAATTTTATCTAGAATGTACCCGAATTTTTATTTTGGTACACTGAGTTTTAAGAGTATTTTATTTTCTGATTAATTTGCTTTAAGTCTCTAGTTTCTTAAAAAAAAATAATGCATTGAACAGTTGGGTTGGTGTTTATCAGATATTCAAATTGTTCTGCATATGTTTTGCTTCTATTGCTTAAATTCAGTTAGATTTAGACTTTTTAAAATGAAAGATTAAGCAATAAGCATCTCAATGAAAGGATACACAGCTAGGCCTTCATGTTTGAGGAGAGTAATTGCCAGTACTCACACAAACATTTTAATATAGTTGTAAATTGTCGTCTCCCCTTTCTGTTGGTCTGTATTCATATTTGGTGCAGATAATGAATTTATATAGCTCCTCTCATCTAGAACTGTTCTACTTGATGGCGCTGAGCTGCATTTTATGTTTGGTATTCCCAATTAAATAAGTGAGTCTTCAAGCATGATTTAAAGGACTCTGAATGTTCTGGCTTCTTTTAAAGTACCACAAGACACTTTCAAAGCTTTTGGAACTACAAGTTTGTGTTTTGAGAGAGTTGTTTCTCCACTTTTGACCTGTAGAAGATCACTCAAGTAGTTATTGCTAAACCATGGATTATTTTAAATTAAATACGTCTGTTTATGGGCAGTCAGTGAAGGGATTTAAGCACAGGTGTAATGTGGTCATGGAGTTTTGTTCTGGTGATTAATGTATATTATTATCTTTTTGCCCCCACTCCCCTTTTGAAGAAATCAGGGACTATGAAAATTGGTTATTGAGGTAAAATGTTTAAACTTGGTGTTGGTTATTAGGTGACTGCCTTGATGGAGTTGATGATGAGCATTTTCTGTTTAGGCTATGCAGAGAAAAACAATATCAAAACTTTGGTAAGTTAGATCATGATCATTTTCTGCTTAGGCTCACTTTGAATGCTCAATACTTTACAAAGAGATAAATGTACAATTAATTAATATGTGCCAAGATATGCCACTGCAATCTATTTATTTTGTGATTGAGACCAAGGCCACAGATCCCGGGGGGGATGGGGGGGACGCGTCCCCCCCTAAATGTTCACTTGGGGGGATTTCATATGCCTCGTCCCCCCCAGAAAAATGCATCGATAAAATTTCAAAAGTCTTATTTTCAGCCCGGGAAATGGTCTCAGATAGCATTTTGAGGCATCCTAATTTTAAAAAATCTTCCGAGGGAGGCACCAAGACCCCCGCTAAATGCGCGCCTGTAGCGCACGTGGCGTATGCCTTCGCCCGCCGTACTCTGTCAGCGTCTCCTAAAACTTGAGTCCTATTTTCAGGCTGAGGATATTTCCCCTTGGTTCAAAAATTCCCGGTCTTTGATGTAACCCAGATCTGAGAATGACCTCAGCAGCTTATGCTCAGAGCTGGCCACTTAAGAAATTATTCATCACATTTTCATCCGTGACCGGCAATTTAGTAGCCTACCTATATCCCTATATTGCGAGGACTTCTTTGATTAATCAGTCCGTATCATCTGTGGTTTACTGTTTATATTTTTAAAGTTTAATAATAAATATTTTTAACTTTTGTAATATTCTCGCTCAATAACGACAATTTATTCTCGGTACGTTCATCTCTGCAGAATGCTCAGAGATGGTCTCAGATAGCGTTTTCAGGCATCCTGCTTTCAAAATTCTCTGGAGGAGGACCCCCAGAACCCCCGCTCCGCCCGCCACCTGCGTCCCCCCCTAAAATTTATTAAGATCTGCGGCCATGATTGAGACGGGAAACATCAGCCTCACTGTTGGCTTGTTTAAATTGATATAGGTTATCTATATCATTGAGGGGGGTTGGATGGCTGAATGGTTAGCGTGCGCGCGCTGTATCATAAAGTCTGTCATTGAGTCGACTGGCGTGGTTTCGAATCCCCGGTTGTACGTGGCAAGGAGTAGGGTCGCCTGTCCAACATCGTGGGTTTTCTCCGGGGCCTCCGGTTTCCTCCCACTGCTAAAGACCCCTACGCGCAAGCGCATTATGTAAATAAAATTAAACCATGTGTTAGTCCCGAGATGACCTAGTTTGTGTCGAGTGGACGTTAAACCCCATTTCTCTCTCTCTCTCTATATCATTGAAATAAAGAAGCCTTAATTTTCAATAGGTTTTGATAATGACCACCAGTTTAGCACTTTATAGCCTGCAATTATTAACCTATTGGCTGTCTATCAATGGATTTCGATAATATGATCTTTTAGAAATTTTTCTTAGTTGTTTTTCTCATAATTGCTTGGACAATTTAGCTGCTGGTGGGTGTATGTTTCATTGCCAATTAATTTATGTTTATTTCAATTTTCTTGTGCACTTGAAACCAGAAACAAAAACAAAAACCTGAGGAAATTAAACAGACAATACTACTTCTTGTTACATACAAGCACAGGATCAAACTCATGACTTGCATAGATAAGACTATTAAAGAACCACAAACCCCCACCTCCAACATAAAATATTCTGATAATACACATACCTTTTGAAAACTGTTCCTTTTAAGGAATTCATCTTAATTGAGTATCTTTAAGGAGAGCCGGACATTTCATTGCGTAATAATGTGCCAATTTATGTTTCAAATTTATTTGCTGGAAGAAAGAATCTGAGTGAGGTCACAGGAGGCACATTAAAAGACGACTAGATGATTATAAAATCTCCATTATCAATATCATAAAGAAAGTATTATAAATTGTGTAATAGAATAGGTTTCCATGGTAACCCTTTCTCTGGCATATTTCTCAGCTTAAAATTTCAAATACCTGAAATATAGAAGTTCAAGTGTCATACTGGAAGAAATGATTATGTGCTGACATGCTGGAATAATGTTAGAAATCTGGTCTGACAAGAGGAATTTTCTGGTTCATTTGTAGTTGATGTCCTCAGAAGTAAGGTAAATTAGCTTCTTTGTTTCTTGAAAGAAACCATTAAGAATTGAAAGAGTACTTTTCAGTTATCCTGTGCACATTGATCTTTTCTTCTGGAATTGGTATCTTGCGACATAAAGGATTTATTATTTCAAGACTTAAATCTATCCAACAAAGTTATTTAATAAAGCTTGACCATTGTAAGAGGTAAGATTTAATGCTGTGACAGGATAAATACAGGAAAGGAAATACTGGGTAATTGATTACCATGCGCTCAACTCAAGAGATCTCGAACATTCCATATTTTTGGAAATTATCAAACAGAGATTTATGATTTAAGTTTTCTTGCAAAGTATACTTTGATCTGCATAACAGAATGTGAGTGTTGCTAAAACACAAACAAGAGTGAGATTAAGAACGGATTGTGTGACAATAGGTGAGGTCAGAATTTTCGTAAAATTATCTAGAATTATCTAGTTTATGAGGAACTGACCTGGGAGTTAGTTCAAATGATGGGTAGTTGGTTATGTTTTTTTTTACGCCTACATGGAAATGTGTTTGTATATTGACGTCAATCCGTTGTCCACAATTTCTTTTGAACACTCTACAGACTACATTTCAATCTGTTTCACAGAGTATTATGAAAGTTTACTAATATCTCTGTAAAAAATGACTGCCTCCAACACGTGACATCACATCAGGCTGCGTCAATCATTGGCTCAATGGCGAGATATAACTTTACTGATTAGAGCAGAATGGCGCCTTTTACTCATTTTAATACCCATTTACACTAAAATAGGAAATAATTTTTACCTACAAATACTTCAAACATCTTTATTTATTTTTCTAATACATAAAAAAAAGTGTTTTAGAATTTAATTTGTCGGAGGAAAAAAGTTAATATTTGTGGCTCATTTAATCGGATCGATGTCATCCTTATCAGTGATTGTCGCTGCCTAGCGAATATTCACTGCTGATTAGTGTGACTACATTTATCATCTGATTGTTTTGAAATTGATATATGTTGTATACATCAGTGAGATGAAGAATCCTATTCTATTTCAATAATTTCCGTTAATTTCTTCTGGAGTTATTGCCATTGTTTCACTTTGTTGAACTGTGTGAATGCTCTTAACAACGAAAATTATCATCTGATCTGTATGGAATTTTTATCCGTTATTTAAGTTAGTGAAATGAAGAATCCTATTGAATTTCGGCAATTTCCAATAATTACATCTAGAGTTATTGCCCTTGTTTCACTTTGTTCAACCTTGTTAATGCTCAATTGATGAAAGTTATTATACGCCCACATTGAAATGTAGTCGTATATTGTTATCGTCCATCCGTCCGGCCATCTAGCTGTCAGTCCGGTGTCCACAATTGCTTGTGGATGCTCTAGAGGCGAAAGTTCATATCTGATTGACTTTAAATATGAAATTTATATGCATCATTTAAATTTTGTGAAACAGAGGTCTAGTGAATTTCAGCCATTCCCATCAATTATTTCTAGAGTTATGACCCTTATTTTACTTTGTGAACCTTGGGAACGTTGGAATGACAAAAGTTGTCATCCGATCTGTATGAAATTTATATGCATTATTTAAATTAGTAAAACAAAAAACCTGTCAAATTTCAAACTTTTCTGTGAATTACTTCCAGAGTTAAGGCCCTTGTTTCAGTTTGTAGAACCTTGTGAATTCTCCAACGACAAAAATCTGTATGAAATTGTCTTGTAAATAATGCCCCCAATTACCTACAAAAGAATAAATATGCAACAACTCTTGTCGACTGCTCAGACAATTTAGCTGCTGTGGGCGTATGTTTCATTGTCTAGCAACCTATCTTTTCAATGGGATAGACAACCAATATAAATTACAGAAAGATATATGAATTATTGTGGTCTCTAGGGTATACTAATAAGAAATGTGAATCACAGACTGTCAGATGTAATATAGTTAGTATTAAGTTGATA